CTCTCCTACCTTGAACTGCCTATGGGATCACCTCGCTCATTTTCTTCAGTTGGCTCCCCACATCCACAGATCCAACCCACCGAGGATCAAAACGACTCCTGCTTCTGCACTGTGTGTGCTGACTTTTTTCTCACCTCTCTTCTCTAAACGATACAGCAGGATGATGATTCACACAGTGTTTACACTGTCCCAGGTGTCCTAAGTCATCCAGGAATGGTGGGAAGTATATGGTGGGATGTGTGCAAACACCGTGGCACTTTATAGAGGGACAGGACCATCTGCAGACCACGGAACCTGAGGCAGTCCTGCACACAGTCCCTGGTGGACACAAGATGATAGCACCACACCCATCTTCACCCAGCAGCTGTAATTACTCTGAGCGCCTGAACAAATGCTTGTTCCCGACTTGTCCTCCCGGGCAGGACATTCAAGCTTCTCCATTCTCCCTCCTCTGTTTCAGACACCTGGGAAAACAGCCAGGCACCTTCTCACCTGGCAGGCAGGCTGCCTCCCCCAGGCCCTTGAGCGAGCTCCCTGGTAGAAGATCTATGGCTGATTCTTTACCTGTGATTCTTCTGAATCTCAGTCTGTACTGTGGGTAACACCGGCTTCCAGTGATCAGTTACTGTTTTCCACCCCACGGAGAGAAAACCAAGGGACTAAAGAGCTCCAGGCTGCCACTGCATGTGCATCCAAGAGGAGGACAACAGAGAGCAGGGTTGGAGCATCGGCCACTGGCGAGGCTTCCCACTGCATGTCCCCAGCACCAGGCTCCTGGCAAGGCACAGGCTGGCCATCAGCCTAGACAGATTCAGTGTGGCCACAGCCTTGCAATTTTCTGCAAATACCTCACAGTTGGTTAAGGGCCAACAAGAAGCTGGAGAGTCAATTGCTGATGCTCAGGAGGAGACAGCAAAGGCCCATGTCTTCATCGCTTTTCTGACCACTGTGACACAATACCCAATGCCTGCAAATTAACGTTTTCATGATGGGGCATCATTTGTGTCTCACTGGCAGGCAGCTCTGAACCACCGGTGGCACATGCATGACTGTCCCATCAGGTGGTGTGGGACAGTCCCACTGGGTGGTACAAACTCTCTAAGGGGACAGTCATCTGTGTACCACTGGTGGCTCGAGGTGGTGGGGACGTGTTCAAGGCAGAAAGGTTTATTTTGGCTCACATGTACTGCGCGGTTGGCTGCTCTGAGGCAGGATGGAGGGCTGCACACAGGACAGAAAGCAGAGCCAAGGGAAGACCTTCCAGACCACACCCCCAGCCTTCCTCCCTTCAACCAGACTCCGACTTCAGGCATTCAGCTATAAACTCAGCAGTGGACAATCCATGAGCCATAATCCATCATCTCCAAAAGGCCTGAATACAAGTACACAAGGCTTAGGGGAACATCTATATAGACCATAATGCTCCCACTCCACAGGGCCAGGGACCAGGACTGCCCAGGGAGAAGGCCCAGGGGGAACACCTCACCAACTCTGAGGGCACTATGGGTCTGAAGTGTCTCCGAGTGGGTCCCAGTGCTCCCACATGACACCACAGAAGCTATGTGTCTTCCGCTTGACTTTCTCCCAGAGGAGGGATTTAACACCAGGACATGTAATGTGGCGCTTCAGAGGAAGGCCAGATGCACACTGAGCACTAAACCCCCCATGCACGGTGGAGAAACTGGAATGATATGGCCAAAGCATCGCTCCTGATCCAAATTAGCAGCTATTCATAGAGCCCTCGTGGCAACAGCATCACTGCCACCCAGTTCTCTTTCTGGGATGCGAATGACGACTGTGAAATTTCCCACCGAGGTGTCAAGGTCACACATAGGCTGTCATTTCTGTGAGGTTGTGCAGCCAACAGTGCTGGCAAAGTCACAGCATGATGGCCTGAAGGGACAGGGCCAGCACCAGCCGCAAGATTCCCGAGCACACTGTTCACACGTGCACTGCCCAAGGTGAACTGTGGCCTTACACAGAAGCGCACTGGTCCTCAGCCCTGGCACCTGCGATACAACCTGACTTCCCAGCAGGCTTTTTGGAGCTGCAGCTGGTTGAAAAGACATCACACAGGCAGAGGGTGAGCTGTACTGCATGGTGTGTGGCCTGAGGCAGGGCTGGGGCGTGAAGTTTAGAATCCAAAGACACTAAGGATGACAGGGGTCATGGGATTCTCCCTGAGCCTCCTAAAGTAACTGATCCTGTTAAGACCTTGATTTTGGAAGTTTAGCCCCTAGAACAGGAAGAGAATAAACTGTTTTAAATCGTCCCATCAGGGGAAGTCCAGTGGCCCTAGGACTCTGAGACATAATCATACATTACATGTATGCAAATACACACACACACACACACACACACACACACACACACATACACACACACATACACAAATGGGTAGCTGCCTGTACAAACCTGTAGTCTTTGATCTACTTTTACGGGATCACAAACTCCCCACTGAGACACCCATTTTTGCACTAACTGCACACAGATGTTTCCCCCAGAGGTGACTCTTCCTCCACATTGCCCCCAGCAATCTGAGTGTCACTGGTGGGGTTGGCATTGGGACGAAGCACATTTGCCCATTAATTAAACCAGAGGACTGTGTACAGACAAGAGGGTGAGCAGAGAAATCTAACAGGCGACGCTGGGACAGGCAGGTCACACAGCCTTGCCCCAGCACACCTCCTTTCACCGGAAGCAGCAGTCTCAGGAGCCTAAGGAAGTAGGCAGATGTTTACTAGCTGGGTCTTGGTGCTGGGTGATCAGGCATCGGTGGCACCACCCCCTGGAAGGATTAGTGTCACCCTCCTGGGACCCTAGTTAGGTCTCCTAGGGGTTGCTATAAAAGCAAGACAGTCTCCTCCACTGCCCTCAGGATTCCTGTCTCACCACTTGAGCCTTCTCCTGTGTTCCTGCCTTGGCAGTATCCAACATGAGGCCCAAACCAGGGACCAAATAAATGGGGCCATCTGGCCTTGAACTTTCAGCCACAACACTGTGTGAGCTGAGTAAGCCTCCTTTATTTATAAAGTCTGCAGCCTGAGGTATTTTGCTAGAGTCACTGAAGATGGCCTAACACAAGACAAATCAGAAGCAATACCAAGAAATGGAAGCTCAAACCAGACACTGGCCAGGCCCCCAGTCAGCTATCATCAGCTTTGACTCATGCCACCCAACACTGTATGCACATCTGGGTGACAACTCTGTAACTTGCATCCCAACTTCAGAATGTTCTAACACACACCACCCCAATTCAGGCATGCACAGGCAATGTGTTATGCTGGTTCATGAGACAAAAACTGGAAGCCCTGCTGAGCAGCAGCAGCTCCCTACCAGACAAGAGGCTTGAGGACAGTAAGAGGAGGCACAGGGGAATCTGGCTCTCCTCATTCATGCCCTTTCCAGCCAGCCCCAGTTCCCACTGTCAAGAGATAGGACCAAGGTCACAGGTAATATGAGAGGGACGCCAGTGCCCTGCTGTAAGGAAGAGGAGAAAGAGGGTCGTGGCCTGCCTAGATATAGACAGAATAGGTGGCAACCACAGGAAAACACAGGTCTGAAGGGCTGAAGGGCCTCAGGCTCATGGGGTACCTCTGTGACCTTGATGCATCCCTTGGGTGCACCTGGGCATGGTACTGGCACCTGGGCATGGTACTGGCAACTCCCTGTTGACTGGAGTCAAGAGGCCAGGGGACAACTGGCCTGAAAGTGCAAGGGGAGAACCAGAAAATCCCTTTCCAGATCCCCAAGCCTATGGCCAGAACCCCCGGATGGCATGAGAGGAAGCCTGCAGGGGAAGAAAAGGACTTTTGAAAACCACGTGTACCCTCTGAAATTCCAGTTTAATGAAAGGTATCACTTAAAAAAAAAATTCAAGAAGTGGGGCTGTTAGTGATCACAGTTAGGTCACCCCACTGGATACAGTTTTCACTGTTGTTGTGGAACTAAGACCAATGGTCCCTTGTTGAACAAAACACAAGGGCCCATTATGCAGTGCAGAGAAACTACAGTTCAATACAAACATGATGGGACCAATAGGACAGCCAAAGGGAAAGAGCAGAAGCCACGAGAGTGGCCCAACAGCAACTGGAGGAAAGTGCTCTCGAGGAAGACATGGTCCTGGCCATTCCCCTAGCAGGACTCCCACCCAGCCTCTGAGGTCTGGGGCACAAGCACAGGGCCACACCTAGAACTCTGGTAACCCCAGACCAAAGGCTGGAAAGCATGAGGGGCTCTGAGGCACATTTCCTTTCCCAATGGCTGGGGAGCCGCAGACGCTCAGTGGCTGATTTATTACTGCCCCCACTGGGAGCCCCAACATGTAAGTGAAAACCTCGGACAGCAACTGGACAAGACCATGGAGGTATAATCAAGTCGGGTGACTACCACTCACACTCAGACCCAAGGGACAAATAAACACACATGCCCAGCCCAGGGACAGGTCCCGGAAAAGAACAAGAAGGACGGGGAGATGCTAGCCTTTCTCACATCGCCATACCCTGGGAGATCTGAGCACCTGCTTCTCTGCTCATGGACAGCCTTGCTGCTCCCCGTGTGTGCCCACACACAGTCTCTGTGCTGACTCTCTTGTCTTCCTAAGCCATGTGCCATGGGGAGAACTTAAAAAGTGGGCCTTTTTCTGACATGGCTGCCACAAGTTCTGCAGATGTGACTGCAAAATTCCGCAGCATGGTGTGGGTGCCCTGGGCAGAGCCCCTCGAACTCTCCCCTCTCTGCAGGGACCTGCAGTGGCCAGGACGAGCGTTAAGTGCTAGAACATGTTACAAGGGACACAGGAAGCTACTTACAACTACTGCTCGAAAGACATCTAAGGGACAAAACAGGATGGAATGGTAAACTTAAAAAAAAGGTAAAAATGAAACAAAATAGGATGAGACACAGAACAGGAAGGGAAGGGAAGGCTACAGTACAGAGCTGTGTCTCTCCTCTCTCTCCAAAACAAGACAAGCGCTGCCATGAAGAAAATGTATAATTACCTGCATCCATATCTGCAAAGAATGGAACAGCCAGTAAGAAAAGGAAGGAACCAGAAATTCAGTGTCTCAGAATTGGATTGAAAAGGTTACATGGAGAGAAAATATAATTTAGAAAACTGCCTGGGAACTACACCTTCACTAAGGAGCTAGGTGGTTTCCTATCATTATTATATTTAAAGCAAAAAATAAAATATGGGTATGTTAACGGAAGAAGTAAATGTCTTATGGCAAAAGAAATACCTAACTCACATGCAAAATGATCATTAAATGTTCATAATACAATATAAGAGGGAAACATACTCAAACATATGGCGGTGATAATCTGGAATTCTTATCTAGAAAAGCTTCTATCCATGGCTAAGCAATGTTGTGTATAAACTCAATATTCAATCAGGTGAAACATCCAACCAATATTTAGGAGTAACAGTGGACTAACATTGGAAAGGACAGAACCATCAGATAGGAAATAAATTCAACAGCACTTCATGGTTCCACTCTCTTGTTCCAAATGCCAGGGCGAATGTAATTGGTTTGCTACAATTCCTACAGAACCACAATGCACTTAAAAGATTTGTACTGCTTAGTATGTTTCATTACTCTCTTGGCAAATGATACCTCGAAGCAATGACTCAGGATATGCTAATACAAAATGTAAGAGCCTAAACTCTCCTAAGCTGTGACTCACTGCCTGCAATGCAGCATACCTTCCGGAGACTCCTCCTGGACGTATGTGCCCGTCAGGTACCGGTGCACCAGGGCCGACTTGCCGCTGGCCAAGTTACCCACAATTCCCTGCAGCAAAGAAATGGACAAACGTTAAGGGTCATTAAGTCACGGTTTGGCGTTCTGCACACAGAGGGGTGAAAATATCCGGTAACCCCAAACACGATCATAACCAAATGTCTGTGCCATGGCCAACAAGCTCGTTAAATCCTGTGGGACAAGAAGGAATCCAACACTGCTGTCACCTAGCTACTCATCAGCCTCCAGAATGGTGTGGGGAAAAAGCCTGCTGTTCATACGCCACCCGGTTTATGAACTCTTGCTGCAGTAGCTAGTGCAGACTAGAATACTCAGTGCCACAGCCACAATTGGTGACGCCCCTGTACCCCACTGACCGCCTGGGATTTGGGGCTATAGGGCTGCCTTCCTTCAATGCCGATGACTCCATATGATCTGAGTCTCTGTTCTGTCTTGCTTTTCACCCCAGCACAGCACGCAGCCTGAAGAGCCCTGCGCGGCACAGGAGGAGCGAAGAAGTGAACGAATGAGCAGTGCTCGTGGGTCTCTGGGGCGAGAGGCAGGCACAGACCCAGACCACGGGGACAGATCCTACAGAACTCCGCTTCCCGTCCGGATTCAACTATTATCTCTCACCTGCGGCCTCTGTAACTTGAGAATATCCTCCTCATAATTACTCTTCCACTCAAGGGCAAGTGCTGTTTGCCAGCTTCATGCTGAGAAAATCCAAAACAATATGCCACAGAATTAAATTTTTAATTAAGATGAGTCTCTCTACCCCGAGGAAAGAAACGCTCCAAGTTGAGCTCTGCTCAGCCTCACTTTCCGGGCAGACAGATCTCCTGTTCTTTCATGGGCTGCTGGGTAAGGAGCAGGCCCAACCCGCAGCAGGACCACATTGGTCCTTGCCTGACGCGGGTGGTATTTGGTCTGCACAACCATCCTGCAGACATCACGGGTGCGACTTTGGAGTGGAACCAGTAGAAAGCAACAGCTGAGTGTCGGAAGGAAAGAAGAGCGGCAGGGAAAGGCTCATCAGGCTACAATGCCCAACTGGGAAGCTGAGGGCCTGCTGCTCGAGACAGCCAGAGATTAGGGAATCGATCGAGTCTGGGCCAAAGGGCTTTGTCAGAGAAACGAGGCATTTGCATGATGAGAAAGCTGTGTGCCAGGCAGGAGTTTGTCACCCGTGACCCCGCACTGTTTGTGCAGGCTCCGAATGATCCAAGCCATGCGCTCTGATTCCTTGCCTTGAAGGAAGGAAAAGCAAGGCTCTGGTGCGCCACACGTCTGCATTTACCTGGTAACCATGAGTTTGCTGAAAAGGAAATGGAGCCTTTTAGTCCGACTCTCAGGTGGGAGCTCAAGGAAAACAAGAGTGGGCTCTGGTCTGTTTACGCTTTCCACTCACACGCAAGCATGAAGCCATTGCTGCCTGGCACAGATCTGCAGCCCCAGAACCAACTGGTCTCAGATGATCGGACCACAACACAACTTCACAGAACCTCAGGCATGGTACTACCACTGTCTCGAGGAGAGCACACATTGAACTGTGTTCTCTGACAGATTCCCAAAGATCCGCTGCAAAACGTAAATAAAGGGCCCATTGGAGGCCTGCCATTACATCATCCGTGGCTGAGCCCAAGAAGCAGAGCTGGGGTCCTAAGGCGCTGACTGAAGGAGCCACCTGTCTAGGGCACTGCTCCAGACAATTGCAGCCCTGTGAGGACTCGGAGGCTGCCTGGCACAACAATGAGCGCTTCTTCAGACTGCAAGCCTCAGCGGCACACAAGGGACCTGAGGAGGTACCAAGGCGGGTATGCAGGGTCACAACAGTGCTGGTCATCCTGCCAGGTGATGGGGGCTGGGAGGGGGCTGGACTCACCCTGCAGCCACAGACCAGCACCTGGCCGGAGACACAGAGCCAATCTTGGCCATGGACCTGTCTTGAGAAAGTTACCTCCTGGGGATGAATGGAGGCCCACCCTTCGGCCCCTCCCCACGGCACCTCCCTTGTGCCTGCACTCTGTACTCTAGATAACGACGTGCTTTGCAAAGACCAGTGGAAAAGCAGGGTTTTGGTAGCTAATTATTATGAGCTGGCAGGGGAACACATAGGTCTCTTGGGTGGGCTCTTAGGAGGGTGGTCCCTACCTGATGGACACAGGCAGACTATGATGTTTAACTCTGACATGTCAACTCCACTGGATTAAGAAATGCCTAGCACACTGGCAGCCCATGCTCCTGGGGGTATCTGCTGGGGGCGTGGGGTGGCTGGAGATGTGGCCTTGGGATCTAGGTCTAGTCCTCTGCTCTGCTCCGCCACACCCATGTACTGTGATGTTTCTGCCTTGGAGCCAGCTAACTATGGACTGAATCCCTCAGAACCATAAAATTAACCTTCTATCCTTTAAACCATGAGCATATTATGTCCAATAGTAGGAACACTGGCTAAAAGCCTGCAGTGCCACAGCCGCCTCTGATGTTTTAACTTAAACAGAAACTCAGTATCTCAATCAAAAAATGTACATTTCAGTCCTAGACAGCCACATCAGCACTTATGTCAATCATTCAACAGGTATTTTGGGAAAGTCCCTAATGTGCTAGGGACTGTAGTAACAGAACACACAGAAGAAAGGGCAAGTGGCAGTCTGGAGGTTAGTCCTGGGGAATCCTGGGCTTCTAACCAGGGTCAGACACCCGATCAGAAGGATGCTTTATCTCCTGTGAGAAGAAGACACCTGCTGGCAGGTGCTACAGAAAAGGGGAGGAAGGGAAACAGAGGCGAGGACTCCAAGCATGGCATCCAGGGACAGCGGGGCGGGGGGACGACTGACACACAGGAGAGGAAACACAGGCACCTCCCACACACTGGTCTTTATTTCTTAAATTTGAAAACATGCATTTTTTGTGGTAACAACTCCTATATGCTCTCTTTAAAGACCCTGAAGCTCTTTCCTGCTGCACTTCCTGTCTGAGACCCCTGAAGGGTCCTGTGATAGTTGATACATTGAGAAGTTTAAGCAACTCAGCAGGGAGCCCAGGTCCTCACTTTATAAACATCCTCAGCCATGCAAGAGGAGGGCACAGGGATGGTTTGAGTGTTCTACCAGCTCTGGGGTGGGGGAGTGGCTGGCTTATAATATAAAGGAGGAGAAGAGGATGGCTCTCTCCAGTTCTTTTGCTCTTGCTGCTTTTGCTGTCTTCTGCCATCCTAAAGTGTTGCCCCTGTGTCATGTGTCACTCTGCCTTGGAGCTAGCTGATTTCCTTCGTTCATTTTGAGTGTTAGGTATTTTGTCTCAGCAACGAGAGAAAAGAACCCAGGACACACCCTGCCCCCACCTTCAAGCACTCTCTGAAGTTATGCTCAGTGAGAAAGGTCCAAGGGACTTGGGAGAAATAGCAAATGCAGCAGACTGAGAAGGCGGAGCAGAAGCCACACGCGCAGGAACTTTCCAGCCACCCCTCCACAGTCAGAGCTCACCACCTGACAGGCGGTACTGCGTGTGTTACACATGCACACCCATAGGCCCTGTATCTTGTGACAGACACATGGTATAGTCTTACTTGTCTCATTGCTAAGACAAAATACTTGGCACCCAAAGTTAACACAGTCCGTAGAGGCTTCAGTTCACAGTCAGGTGGCTCCAAGGCAGGGTGGCTTGGCAGAGGCGATCACACAGGAGAAACAGGTGAGAGCAAGCAAGGGGCTTCGGTAGCTTCCCCTTTCATAGTCTATCTGGGCTACTGGGATTAGAGCAGCTCCAAATCATTAATGGACTGATTCAGCAATCACATCCCCCTAATCCTAGCATCACACACTCTAGATCCAGGCCCTTCTGAAAAAGCCCGACCTATGACTGCAAGAGGCTTGTGGGAACATACAGGTACAAGCTGTAACAATTACTTAAAAAGTGGACTTGCCCCTTCCTTCCATCCTGAGGAATGGGATATGTGTGAAGCAGGCTTCCAGAGGTGACCATCACAGGCTTCTTCCACATAAGCCAATCACGTTAGCTAATCTCGACTATCAACTTGATTGGGTTGAGAAACACCCAGGAAATCAGTCAAGGGCACTTCTGGGTGTGGCTGTCGATACTTTTAGATACAATGAGATCTAACTTTATCACCAGATCAATTTGCCAATGGGATCAGAATTTGATGGCATTATTGAGAGTTGGTGGATAGGACCTCGTGGAAAGGAACAGATCACAGGTGCATGGTGTGGGACATAATACCTGGTCCCCAGCCATTTTCTATCTGGCTTTCTCTTCCTCCTTCCTGGGTGTCATAAGCTGCAAGGCTTTGCTGATGGCACCACATCCCTCCATTATGATGCTCTGCCTCATCTCAATCCACAGCAACAGAACTAGCTGACCATAGACTAACACCTCTGGAACCATAAGCCAACATAATAAACCCTTTCTCACCTAAATTAGTACTCTCAGGTATTACATCACAGCAACACAAAGCAGACGAACACATAGATCTAACATTTTACTCCACTGAAAGGGTAAAGTTTACAGTAAACCACAAAACTCTTTCCTTTTTTGCCAATGTTTCATAATACAGTAAAGACAACTTTTTAAGAACAATGAATAGCAAAGCTCACAGGCTCACTGGAGAGCTCCTTGTGTTGCCCTGCTGAGAACAGATAAACCTACAGTGGTGTGTGTGCCTGCACATATGGGAAAGAAAGAAGAGTGGGTGCTGAAGGCTTTGCAATACACCCAAACACGAATCTGCTGGGTGGCGGCTGGGGCTGGGGCTGGCACACTTGGGGCCCCAGCCTCCAATCACCAGGGACATGTGACCCTTCACAGGGACACACCTCAATGCACACCCCCTGCCTCTGCACATCCAGGTTGGCCGAGGTGCAGCCTCCTCCCTTCCCCCCAGCAAGGACAACGCACAAGGCTGGAAGGAGTCACTCACCACTTTGAGCTCTGGCACAGATCGACTCAATGTCCATTCCTGGCTATTCACGAAGGCATCTGAAAAAGAGGAGGCAAAAAGCAAAGTTAACCATTGTGACTCACTCAAAAGCAAGTTCAGGTGCCCCACCATGTCATTCTCAACAGGAGGGACATGGAAGGCAATGCAGACCAGCCCTTCTGTGCCACTCTCAGCCCCTCTAGAAAAGTTCCAACTAGTACAAATTTGAGCAGCTCAGAGGGCAGAGGCCACTTGTATTATATAACACAAACCCAGGGCCAGCAACTCTGCAGGTCTCCGGCACCTTTTCCTTCTCCCCCACTCAACTACAGGCAAGTCTTCCCGGTATACACAACTGGAAGACATCCTAACTGCACAGCTCACGGTGTAGAGATGTTTCCACAGCTCCTGGCACTTGTGGAACTGACCCTGAATCAGTCAGCTTTTGTTCTTTATTCAGTGTGCTAAAATTGTCACACTTCTGAAACTGTACCAAGAACAGGCATGTATATGAGCAGCCAGGCAGGCCAGGAACACATGGTCAACAGGACAAAAGTGGCATGGACAGACAGCCAGACTGTGGACCAGATGCTACTGGTCCAACAACTTGGGGAAGGGTGGCTCAAGGGAAGAGTGGCTGGGAGGCTCAGGAGGACCTGGTTGGCGTAAGAAGCCAAAGACACGAGGCTGATGAAAAGATCTTGAGGGAAGCCGGCAGGACTGTGTTAGACAGCAGAGATGCTGAGCTCCTAGGGAATAAAGCACATGTCCAGAGTACAGATGGCAGGGCAGAGGCTGGTCTATAGGCTCTGGGAGCAGAAGTCCTGAGGAGAATGCCTGGGCAGGAATGGACACCAAAGACTGACATCCAAGTCATGCTCCCTGCAGAGGCAGGTAAGATGGGGGCTGAAACCACAGGGTACCACTCAAACCTTGCAACTGGACATCCACACTTCAGCCATCCTAACTCTGCACAGGTATAGATGTCACCTGTGACCCTTAGAAGCCTGCGCCATGACAGCCCAAGCCTGATGCCCATCAGCACAAAGTAAATGGCAACCAACCCTGGTACTTAACTACATCACTGTCTAGGTGGTAAAGCCTTATGTATGCCATCAACTGCTCTTTCAGGCCAATGAGAATGTGGCCTTACATAACCGGTGGAGAAGGGCACAGTGCAAGATGACAGAAGATACTTGACAGGGGTGTTCCCAGTGCACACACCACATCACCAGCACTCAGTCACCGCTGCTGTACTTCCAGCAAAGCCCAATACTGGTTAAGTAAATCTGGGTAAACTCACACGTAAATACTAACTGGCCAATAAAAATGACAGAGGCCTCAATATACAGAATGCACCCCAGTACCCCAAAGCTCTCAAAGGTGATGAGAGGAAGGTGCACAACAGACACACACAGGACCTAATGCAAGGCAGTGTATGGTGTGTGTGTGTGTGTGTGTGTGTGTGTAAAATACATGCATATTCATGCTGTGACTTTTTGGGAGGTTTAAGAGCTTAGCAGCAGCTGACTTAGGTTTGGGGCCTATGTGGCAAAATTCCTTTCACCACTCTTATAGTCAAAATTCTTTCACCACTCAGATACCATCTGGCAGGTAAAAACCTATATAGTTTTTCGTGTGACTCTTAATAGTAAGACAGACGCAAAAGCTTGTTTCTTACGGCACAGCTGATTCTAACACAGGCATCACACTCTTAGATTACACTTACCACGAACATATTCATTATGTCTTAAGCAAGGCTCCATTAAACACAGACACATCATATAAATACTGGAGCACAGTGTGGCATCTCACATATTTCCTCAGTCAAAAGTAATATACTTTTTCTTTGTGGTGGCTTTATTAATAAAATATATTCCTGACACAGAAACAAACCTCACTTTACATAAAACCATTTATATAATAGACTTTCACCAACTCCCTTCTTGCCCTCCATGAGGACTGGCCCTCAATGACCGGAGTCTCTGGTGGTGGTGGCAGTGAGACCCCTGCATGGGGACTCATGGTGTCAGTCAGTGCAGGAAGGGGCCCGGGCCAGACTGACTGCTCATCTCACTGAGCTCAGGTGCTGCAAAACATACAAGGGTCTACCTGCTCTGAGACACACCTGGTCACAAGTGTGGATAGCTGCACATGGCTGGCAAGACTGCAAAGCCACAGAAGATGGCCCTCATGTCCCAAACTGTTCGGTGTCCCCTCAAATGCCCACTTGGGAAGAATGAGCTGAAGGCGCCGCCCTCAGGAGTCTGGTGCAAATGCCACCGGATGGGGATTAAAATGACACACAGACAGCCACTGGCTGACTGTTTCCAGCCTGCGGGACAGACAAAAACTCCCTGCGTGCTGGTGGGTGTGAGGGCAGGGCTGCAAGCTGCCTGCTTGGCACCATGGGCATCCACAGGGCAAGTTAGGAGTAGAAGGTGTTTCATCATTTTGCGCTGTTAACACGACGATATTAGTTCCAGTTATACTTGCATTTGTATGCTGCCAGCCAGGCTAGGCAATGCCCCTACCTCTGGACACCAGCCTTGTTAAATCAGAGCACTGATCTCTCCAAGAACCCCTAGGTTAGGAGGCGTGGAGTGATGGAACCTCTACCTGGAGTCAAACCCCAGCTCCTGGTTCCCTTTACTGGAGAGACAAGGAAAATCAGACTGAACGCCGGAAGACACTTTCTCCACTGGAAAGACTGATTCAGCCCTGGTTTTTGAAAGGTTTTTGCAGCAGTAGAAATTATGGCAGTGGTCGAACGGGGCGGAAGGCCAAAGCAGGAATGCCTACCACTTCCTGCTTCTTCCCCAGCTCCTCCATTTCCTTGTCACATGGTGTTGAGTGGCTGTTTTATAGCCAATCATCCTTTAGACTTAAAGCTATACACTTACCCAAGATAAAAACCAGAAGTCTTGTGACTGGGGAGGAGATAGATACCTTCCACTGTGGGCCAGATCCCAAGACAAAAGGCTAAACTTGACCCTCAAACCCCACAGGGAAACCTTCTTAATATGGATTTTCATGTTTTCAACAACAGAAATAAAAATCAAAAGGAAAAATAACAATCTGATCTTTTAGCAGTGGCACTTGGGAGCTCTGAGACAGGTAAACTGACACAAGGTGGAGCTGCCTGAGCCCCTCCCAGACCATGCTTCAAGTGCAACAAAAAAGGACACTGGGCAAGAGAGTGCCCAAGCCCGGCATTCTTCTGGGGCCTCCCCCCTACTGCAATCTCAAGGGCCATTGGAAGAGGTACTGTCCTAGCCACCAGCAAGCGGGTAAGCCACCCTCTAACTCCTTGCCCTCATAGGAGATCTCATCACGGCCGGATTCATCGCTGACTGATCTACTCGGACTTCCTGCTGAAGACAATGGGGCTCAGGGTCCACAGCCCCGCATTAAGGTGTCCTTTTCAGAGCCCCAAGTCCCACTAGAGGTCTCAGGTAAGACATTCTCTGTATTTGTAGACATAGAGGCCATGTATAGTGTTCTTCCTGAGTTTTCAGGCTGCTATATATTAAGTCCTCTGTCTCTATAGTGGGTGTTGATGGTTAACCTACATAGTCATGCAGGTTCCAGACTCACATCTTCTCTGGTTGAGCCCATAGTTTGAGATACCTCCAATATCACCTGCACTACTCATGCCATGCCCATTTTAATTCGTCTCAGGAATCCTCCAATTTTTCCTTGTGTTCCCCAACATCCCATAACTCCCAAACATTTACAGGGACTTAACCCTATAATTAAATGCCTTTTAGACAATAGTTTTCTTAAACCTACCCATTCACCCTATAATACTCCCATTCTCCTGGTACTCAAGCCTGATGGGTTTTATCGTCTAGTGCAGGACCTTGGAGTAATCAATAGTGACATTACCCCAATCCACCCAGTGGTGTCAAACCATTATACCATGCTCTCTCATATCCCTCCCTCCACCACTCGCTTTACAGTCATAGATCTTAAAAATGCCTATTTATTCCTTTGTATTTATGCAGACTGACCCAGACATCCTGAGGTCTCAACAACTTACACCTCTCCTCGGGGACACATAACACCTCCTTCTTTTCCTATTCATCAGTTTCTCAAACACAACCCTGGTCAGGACTGGAAGGTAGATTTTACACACATGCCCTGCCACAAATCTCTCAAAGATCTTCTCATCTTTGTTTGTACTTTTTCAGGATAGATAAAAGCCTTTCCCACAACCAGGGAGACTACTGATATACTTACTGAAGTCCTGTTATAGGAAATCATCCCAAGGACTACAACCAAGGTGGAGTGGCCCCTACCTAGGTCTTCTTGGCAACTCCAACAGTGGTCAAAGTTGCTGGACTGCCATCCTGGTTCCACATAACTCAAGTTAAGCAGTGCTCTCCCAGCCCTAAATCTAACCATCCTGAGTGGTCATCTCATCTTCTATTGCCCACCCATCTCCATCTCACCAAGGCCTCACAGCCACAACTCTCAGGCTAAGTCATTTTTGTTATCCAATTTGGTTCCTAATTCCTTATACTCAATTAATTACCTTTTTACAGCAGGTCTCTTCAATAGTCTTTCCTAAAGACTCCCACATCATGCATAAGATCACCTTCATGTTGTTCTACATGACAACTGTCTTAGTTCTCTCTATCCTCAGCTGTTTACTCAAACATGAGATCCCTGTGGGCCTAGGCTCTTATCTCTCTTATAGTGACACAGCCATGGCCATCCCCACCCCTCTTATTCTTTCCAGCTCAACTCCTGGACCAGAGACAAGCCCTACCTACCTACACTTTTAACTGTTACTCTTTCAGACAGGGGAATAATCACCTCTCATAACTTCACTCCTCCTAACCCCACACTTTGTTTTTCAGAATCCTACTCACCGTGGCAATGATTCTACCTCAACATGGTCCTGATAAAATGACATCTAAATCAAAGGCACCTCTCCTTCTACCTCTCCTGGGTCCTTAACTTTGATAGTGGCCTGCCTCCTCATGGCACTTTGTCTGTTTGTTTTTCCAGTCTAACATGCAGGCATTCACCAACGATAAAGTTATCCTGGCTA